CAGTGTTCTTCCCAGCTCTCTCCAAGAGCCCCCCGTGGGAGAGGAGGTACTGGAGGTCCCTGTAGAACAGCCTCAAATAGGAGATATCGCAGAGGAGAGGGAGGAAGCAATGACTACAATCCCAGTTGATGAAAAAATTGGTTATGGTACCTCACAGTCAGGTTCTCCGCTGCTCTCCCAAGTCCCATTTGAGGGCAGAGGACCAAACATAGACAGCTCTCTGGACATGTTAATGGAAGATAAAGTGAAGTGGGAAAGTGGGCCTCCTCATAGACCTTGCCTGGTAAACAGTGGCAGGCTCAGTGGCAAGGACGTGCTTCAAGCTGTGGAACCCAGGCCTCCAGAGAAGAGCCTGGCCGAGAGGCCCCAAGCGGGATCTGTGGTGCAGAGGACTTCCCCTGGCAGCACCCACAGCCCAGCACGTTCTCCTTGTGCCTTGCCTGTAGCTGAATGTAAAGAGGGACTTGTGTGCAACGGTGTCCCAGAGACTGAAAATAAGGCCTCCGAGCAGCCCCCAGGGCTTAGCACCCTCCAGGAGTACCCCACCCCCAACGGGCATTGCGCCAATGGGGAGGCTGGTAGGAGCAAGGACTCACTGAGCTGCCAGCTCTCTGCTATAAGCTGCAGCTCTGCCCACTTACACTCGAGGAACTTGCACCACAAGTGGCTGCACAGCCAGACAGGGAGGCCATCTGCAACTGGCAGCCCTGACCAGCCTTCTCGCAGCCACCTGGACGATGATGGCATGCCTGTGTATACGGACACTATCCAACAGCGCCTGCGTCAGATTGAATCAGGCCACCAACAGGAAGTGGAGACCTTGAAGAAACAAGTCCAGGAACTGAGGAGTCGCCTGGAGAGCCAGTATCTGACCAGCTCTCTACGCTTCAATGGGGACTTTGGGGATGAAGTGGTGAGTATACTGTGCTTCACAGCCACCCCAGGAAGCAGGGCACACTGAGGCTGGACACCCTTTGTGACTGGTGCATGGTGATTGTACAGATTTCTCAAAGAATTGGAAAGGCAGCCATGCGAATGGCAGTCTGCCTCTTTCTTTTCTGCCTTGCTTACTTTCCACGGGGGTCCTAGTTAGGCAGTTAGAATAAGGAAGAGAGTGAGCACTCATTACATGGTCAGTCAAGACTCTTTGGAGGGAGGATCATAGTTAAGGGCATAAACTCCTGGGCAGAATGACATTTGTAGGGTAATGGCAACTATTCCTATTAAATTGTAGTGCTTGTCCTATCCTGGTAGCACCACCCACCCACCTACCCACCCCACCTGGGCTGTACGGGCGCAGGTTTAGTTCTTTTTTAACAGATACTCATATCTACTCTGTGGCAGGTGATGGCAGTAGAAATGGAGAAGTGATTGATTTCTAGCGCTGTGAAGTTAGCAATGATGGGGCCTGGTAACCAAGTGGGGGTACCTGAGGGGAGATTATCAAGGAGGCTCTCTCTTACTGGGTGTGCTAATGTTCAAGTACTCGGTGTTGATGGACAAGTGTGAACCTGGCTCTGAGGCAGTCAGCGTACATTAAAGGCGGGCTCATCAATGACTTTCAATTAAAACTGACTTCTCGGTTTTTCCTTCACACTAATGATTTCTCATTTTCCCAAGAGTCCTTCAGAGAAAGGAGGACAGGCCCAAAGCACTCAGTTTCAACACACAGATGTAAGTGGCAGGGTTGGATTGTCAGGCCCAATGGAGCAGCTGACACTGAGTTCCCACTCCATCCTGGTCACTTCTGCCCCACTCACTTCCTGGAATCCAAGGCCCAGAATCACTGCACACAGCCTTAGACCTGTGTATCTCTCTTCCAGCTGAGCTCAACCCTGTCTCTGCACCTGCTCAACCCAGTTCTTGATGGCTGATGTACTGTACCTACAGATTCGGCAGCCCTAACACCAAGGCCCACCCAAAGTCCCCAGTGCTCCCTCCTCTTTTCCAAGCCCTTTCTTCTTCTTCAGGAAGGAGACCAGGTTCATTCTCTTCAGCTGTGTTTGTTTGCCAACAGACTTCAATCCCCGACTCGGAAAGCAATCTGGATCAGAACTCTTTGTCTCGCTGCAGCACAGAGATTTTCTCTGAAGCCAGCTGGGAGCAGGTGGATAAACAGGACACGGAGGTACAGGCTCAGCCCCTGTTCTGAGTGCCATCCATGCAACTGTTTTGCAGTTCTTCTCCACCCCCATCCCTAGACCCTTCCCCTGGGCAAGGAATCACCTCATAGCACTCTTAGCCTTGAGCCTCTGTGAATCTCCGCGCCTGTGAATCCCCATGGATCCCATGGAGCCTAGAATTATTGAGCCAGGGAGACTCAACGAGCTGGCCCTATCTCCTCATTGCCTGTATGAACTGGAGCTTTGCCAGCTCTCATGGTGACCCAAGTTGCTGCTGCCTGCCATTTTATCTCAGGGGAGTTTGGAGTCCCCTCCAGGAAAATGATTTGGACGCCTTTCTTGTACTGCTGACATCAGACCTGCTGGTCTGGTGCCCCCAGAGACAGTACGGTCTTTGTGACTCTTGCTGCCCCCAGCATGGCTCTGCTGGCAACAGCTGGATGGCTCATTTCCTGTTACTAATCTGGCCCCATCTGTTTTACAGATGACCCGTTGGCTCCCTGACCACCTGGCTGCCCACTGCTATGCGTGTGACAGCGCCTTCTGGCTCGCCAGCAGGAAACACCACTGCAGGTGCCACTTGGGGGTGTGGTGGGCCAGGGTGTGGGGTTGAGATTTGGTCCATGGAGCCTGTAGATGAGAGATGCAGGCATCTGGCTGGCTGTGTTCTGTCTTAAGACAGGCCCCTGGTCCATAGGACTTCTAACTCATGCTTTGTGCCTCTGAAATTGGTGTTTGCATAACTGCATTTGGTGTCTTTCTTCCAGTTCACAATGATCATGACTGAATTTTGAAATGTGCAAATTATGTCCCTTTTTGTTTTGCTTCCTGGATTGGTGGAGCAATAGCCACCTCTCAAATCACCATTTCTTATTCCTCAAATAAAACTGCTTCCCATTCAACATGGCTGCTATGAGCACAATAGTTTTCCAGTTGTGGGCAGGGAACTTCATTTTTCCTACTTCTTATCCTATTTCCTGACCCCAAACTTGGTTTCCTTTTGCTAGTGGTGAGCAAAAGTAGCTGGGGATAGTAGCTGGACAGCGGAGGACAGTCTTTAGTCCTTTAGACTGACTTCTTCCTTCCTTCTTGGTTGGGTAGTGAGTTGCTACTGATGCTTTGCCCCACCTGGGGTGATGACTAGAGGATGGTCAGTGTTCTTGGTATAGGAAGTTTATATGAATCGTGGTATAGCTTACACACCTGAGTGATCCCAGACAAAAAACGGAGTCACCTCTTTGTCTAGTAATGATACTTCTAGGACTATATATCTCCCTACCCTGCACCCCAAGCCCAAATGTCTTTGGTTGGCTTCTCCTCTGAGCTCTTTCTCCCCTCCTTGCAGGGACACTGACCGTGTTGATCAAACGTGGTGAGCATTTGCAACAACCTGTCTGTGATGTCTGCATATCTACAATAACTTCACACTAACGCGCCATTTCCCCCTCTCTGCACTCATTGGGATGTAACCTGGGGCTGGGAGCACAGGCAGGCAGGTGGGCTTCTGGGAGAACCAAAGCAGCCAGCTGAGCAGACCATTAGGGCCGAGTCAGGCTGCAGCCCTGCACTCCCCTCCTGACTGCACAGGTCAACTCAGCCATCTTGCTTGTGACAAGAAGCGGTGCTTCAGCAGTTCTTGTGGGATAACCTGTTGGATTTTTAGAGTTTTTTGGGGGTGGCCAATCATTCTCTGAGATGCCACAATAATGCTAATGACTTCTAAGTCAAACAGCATCACTGCTCTTTTTTTTTTAAAGAGACCAGAAATGAACAGAGGTTGTCTTTCCAGAGAATTGTTTTAACATGAAAGACTTTAAGGGAAGACTCCACATAGGGTCTGTCAGGATCCCCTGAAGTCAGATTGAAAAGCTTACCTGATCAAATTTGTCAGGCTTTTGAGCTGAACTCTAGCAGGTGTGTTAAATAAATGTAAATATTCAGAAACAGATTGAGGTAATATTTCTGTGTAACCACAGGTTCTTGCTGACATGCTTTTCAGAATAGAGTTGTGAAGTACTTACTGTATTCTAGAAAAAGTTCTGTGTTTTAGTTTTCTGTCCTTCCATTACCCTGTGTCTAGACTTTTCCTTTTGTGGTTTTTGTCCTGAAAAGATACTCAGTATTCTCTCCTCTGTGCCTAGCTGGTCCTTAAACCAGTACTGGGTTTGCATTCTAAGGAACGTAAATGAAAAAACAGTGAGTGATGTTGGCTAAGAAGAATTTCCCTTTGCTGCTTTCCCCAAATCTTTGGCGAGCTGTGTTAGGCTCCTTGGAATCTCCTGTTCTTGGCTTATTGGGATTGGTTTGTCCTGTAAGGCCCATCAAAAGTGGGTTTGTAAGGTGGGCAGAAACTCATCCTCTGCCAGTTCCTTTCCTGTTAGCTGTGAAGAGGTGTCTTGTGTGGGTGTACAGCCCTGGGTGGGCTTTCAAGTGGAGGAGAGGGGAGGCATGAGGCCTGGGTACAAGTCAGGCCTTCAGGTAGAGTGAATAGTCCCTGGAGTTGCATGGGGGCAGGGGAGTGAGCCATAATTGACTGATACCTATCTAATAAGGGCATGTGTGTTCATCTGTGTTTTTGTCATTTCACACTGAGCATGTGTCTGTCACTGGTTGCTTGTCTCTGGCTTTGCATGCTGGGCGCAGAGCAGTCCTAGATGGCAGCAATCTATTCTCCATGTTGCTGTTGCTGCCTGGGAGCCTCTGGGGCAGTGGTCCTTTGGGCAAGGCTCCTCACTCCCCAGCTGGGCAGGGTATTTTCTCTCATCTGCAGGGCTTGTGGGAGTTCCACTGGCCTCTGGCCTCTCTGTGATCACACGCTACATAGAGGCTGTTGCCCAGGTGGGTGTGGCCACGGGATTTTCCTGGGCCAGGACTTACCCATAGTTAGCAGCTGCTTCTGCCCTGGGCTCATTTGCTTTCACAGATCTCTCATGAGCAACATCCTCCTGTCGACCTGGTAACCTTGAGCCATAGTGATGAGGCTGTGACTGATAGGTAGGGATCCCCTCTCTGCTTGGCTTTTTCTTGGCTAGACAAATGAAAGTTCACTCTTAGAGGAGTCTCCAGCACATTTGAATTGCACACAACTAAGTCCTGTCTTCTGAAGTTGGTTCCCCCACCCATATCTGCTACCAAAACTAATTTTGTTTTGTTTCTTCTCCTCACCTCAAGGAATTGTGGGAATGTATTCTGCTCCAGTTGTTGTAATCAGAAGGTTCCAGTTCCCAGCCAGCAGCTCTTTGAACCCAGTCGAGTATGCAAGTCTTGCTATAGCAGCCTACATCCCACGAGCTCCAGCATTGACCTTGAACTGGATAAGCCCATTGCTGCCACTTCAAACTGAAGCTACGTGACCTGGGGCAGGCAGAGGCCAAGCTGCTGTTCCTCTGACAGGCCCACGCAGCCTGGCAGACCGAGAGGCCCGTGCACTTTGGAATGGGGGCTTGGAACCACCTGTGCAGAGTGACAGAAATTTGGGATGTACCACTGGATTGTAGATTGATTTTTCTTTCCTGTTTTTTTTTTTTTTTTTAATCTCCCCTTTCCATGTTCCCCTGGTTGTCTTGAGGGAAAAAAAAAAAAAGGAAAAAAAATTTAATGGAATACCAGAGATTGCCAGGCCCCATGTAACTATAGAGCCGCCTGTTGTTAGGCGATGCTGAGGGTTGGCTTGGTTTCTCAGGATGGAAGGAGGCTGGTCAGAGTCAGGAGTGGAGGCCTGAGATAATGTAGGGGGAAGAGCCAGTGCTAACATTTGTGACCATTCCTCATGCCACATCAGAGCTGGCTGGAAGCATCTTCCCCTAAGAGCATTACCCTGGGTGCCCTCTCCCCCCTGCAAGGGGCCAGTTCCACCTACAGACAGTTGAGATTGGCTTTTGGGGGAAGGAAGGTGTATGTTGTTCTGAGGCAAGTGAGAGGGGAGGGGCTGGAGATGGGTGGTCAGCGTGCTCTCCCCATGGGATCGTGTTTAGCTTGATCTATGGCTCCCTTCGCCAGGCTGTGTAGTGCTTCCCATGCTTCCCACTCTCAGGCATAAAAGTGCAGACTGGCCAGAGTGCTATTGCTGTGGCCAAGGCCAAAGCCTGCCCTGAGCCCAGGCACCTGGTCCCCCAAACAATCTCTTGTCCTTGGCTAGCACAGGGAGATCCAGACTCAGGGTTCCCAAAATTCCCCACTCCCAAAACCAACAAATCATGGACCTCCCCCTTAAGGGGTAGAATCAGCCTTTTAGAGTTCAAGCCTCTGGAAATGGGGCATGTCCCATACAATCAGCCTTCCTCCTCCTGCCCTGCTCCTGTGCTGCTGGCAGCAGTGAGGGCCCACTAGGTGACTCTGCAGTCCTTAGAGAAGTGACACAGCCCGTAAGCAATTCAGGGCACCTCCCCTCAGTAAGCTTTGATGTGGTCCCCAAAGAGCCTTAAATCAAGAATATTTGTGGTGGAGGTGGGCATGGGGAAGGGGTGGAGAGTTTAGGTTTGTGCATTGTAATCTTGGTTGGCATCCATGTTTTGTGCCTGCCCTCCCTTTTGTGGGTAGGGCCATGCTTGGGTCTGCTAAAGCTGCTAAGTGGTCACAAGGCGGATTGTGGTGAGTGGTGGGGATGAGACCAGGGAACTCTTCTGACGCTTTCTGGAAGCGGTTCCCTGTTCCAAGACAAGCTCTGTCTCAGGAAGGTGGCTCCTGTGTGTGCCTGGACATGGTTAAGATGGGGCCCAGAAGCCATCCCTGGAGCAACCAATCCAGGCAAAGCCAAGAGCACCTGAGCACGAGCCCGACTTCCCAGTGGCAGCAGGTTGCGGAGTTTGAATTTCGTGAAACAGGGTGTCGTTCTCCACACTCTGTGTGGTCTTCCCGTGCAGATAGGGAGAAGTCAGTCTAACTGAAGATTGTGCATTTCTTAGTGACAGGTGCCAAGAGGTTATGATACGGGTTTCTTGGGTCTGATGTACAGTGTGAATAAATGCTTGCAGCTCTTAGCCCTTTTTTGATCAATGAAGCACTTTTTTAATATTTTCCTTTGTATGTAAAGGAGGAGCCGTAACTCTCCGTAGCTGTACATATAACCCCTTTTTCCTAAAGAGGAGTCAGTCAGTGCTCCTATATTTTTCATTTTTTGTCAAAGCAAGAAGTAAATACTTTAGAACTGTTAAATATATAAATAAAGTGAATAAAGTTTAGTGTTCCGCATGGTAGTTTGCTAACACGTTCCGATTTTTTCCCTTCTGGTTTATCTCCTTTATCCCTTTCCGTCTTACACAGAAGCAGTTTGAAGTGCTGCTGGGAACCTGGACTTTGGCAAAGGAAAACTAGATTTCTTTTCAACTCTGGACCTTGGCAAGGAACTGTACCATGATGCCCAAGCACTGAAACACATTTCCATGGTGGTTTTACCCCTAACATTAGCTTCCAAAGCTAAAAAAGAAGCAGTCAGGCTCCGTAACAATCAAGTGGTTCTTCCTCATCTGAAGAACTGAGCATCAATAGTAATTAAAACTACCTCTGGCCTCCAAGCTCCTCTTTTTTTTTTGCTGCTGCTGCTGCTCTGATTTCAGGGCACCCCTACCCAGTGGAGTGAAAGATGTTGGGGGGGAGGATGGCTAGCTGGTTTGTTCTGTGATTGCAGCATCAGCCCGGGAACTGAAGGGTCACAGATTCAATTCCAGTCAAGGGTATGTACCTTGGTTGCAGGCTGGATCCCTGGCCCCAGTTGGGAAGCAACCAATCCACGTGTCTCTCTCTGTCTCTCCCCCTCCCTTCTACTCTCTAAAAATCAGTAGGGGGAAAAAATCTAGTGAGGACTAACAAAACAAAAAAAAGATAGTGCTTTTGTCTGTTCTTGAATGAGAGAGGGGGATAAAATCTAGTGAGGACTAACAAAACAAAAAAAGATAGTGCTTTTGTCTGTTCTTGAATGAGAGACTTTAGACAGAAGCTGAATGGGATGTGATTGGATTATGTGCCTAACTAGGGGTCTCTTTCCTCCCTCCACAGAGGGGAGAACCTGTTTCTTAGGTATGCAACCAGCCAGCAAGGCCATAGCTTCTAATCACGTCTTGGCTAGCTCTTCCTCTTCGGAGAGGGGATTGTCTTTCCCTGTGTGTCACTGTTATGCAGTTCTTCCCTCGGGAAGGCTGGTGTTGAGTGGTGCTCAGCTCTGGGGTCCCCAGCCCACTATCTCCATGCTGTGCTGGTTGGGCTTTGTTTAAAGGGACCTGCTCGGAGGGCCTTAACTCTGAGGCAGGCTTTCCAGGGTCAATTTCTGGATAAATGTTCTCTCTGCCTAGAACGCAAGCACTTAAAAGCAGCTCAGCTGGTTCTAGTGTGAAAGCTGCAAGTGCCTTCCACCCACGTTTGAGCATTAGCCTGTCTTCTGGGAGGAGAAGCTGCTGTCTCAGCTGCCTTCAGTCCAGCACGGAGCCCACCAGTCTGTGTTCAGACCAATTTGTAAAAAATCTGTCTCATAGCCAAGGTGTGTCTACACACAGCCCTTATTGTTTCTGAGGTCTAATGGCTTAATCCTCTGAGTTCAAACACCAACAGAACCTAGCAAGGCTGCTGATGCCACAGGTGGAGAGCTGCAGAGACCTGCACAGCGTGGGTTGAAGGCAAGGACTTACCCCGTGAAGATGGCTGTATGTGGAGAATGGTTCAAGGACAAGGCCAGCTTTCTTCAGGCCGTCCATCAGGTGGAGGGATTTGGTCTGAAGGAATGGGGTAGTACCAGCAACTCAGCTGCTCTGAGTTTTCCTATCCTGGTACTCATTCAGTATTTCCCTTCTTTCTATACTTCGGCCTCCTTATCCCAGTCCCCAAAATGATAGGGCTGCCTTAATCCACTGGGTTTTTCTAGTGAGGATGTATAGAAAATTATTTCTTCAGTAATTTTGCTAATATGCTCCCTGTTCATTCCTATGTTAGCAAAGAATATTCTAAGAATTAAAAAGGTACTGTGGCAGATTTAAAGGAGAATGAACAAAGTGGAATTTAGGGTTTGTTAAGTAATTTCTAGCTATCAAAGAATATCAAGTGGGAATTAAGATTACAGGCAGTTGTCCTTGATATACTTGGCTGGTGCACATTGAGAGTAGGAGATCCATGCCTGTTGAAGTTGTTAACCCTAGCCCTGACCTCTATTGACCCTTTAAGAATGAAAACTGATTTAAAGGTGCTTTCTCAGGATTTCATTAGCTGGCTTGAGTGACCTGTCCCCAGCTGCACCACCCGATTGCATCAGCAGAGATAGGGCTAGTAGCAGGGTTAAAAAAAGGGCCTGGGCTATAATAACCAGAGGTTGCAGGGCCCTGGCTCTCCATCTGAACTTTGCATAACATAAGCAGGAGTCCCAGCTGCTTAGTTACATTTTCTAAGAACGTGTGTTCTAAGCTGAGTTACTGACAAGATTTCTGGAGGCAGGAGTAGGAGGCAGCCCTCCTAAGCCTCTGACTCCAACATGAGCCGTGCTGTCCGCTGTCCTGAGCCCATAACCAGCACTGACCCTTTGTTCCCCTCCTGTGTGTAGAGTTCATTCCATGCAGATACCAGCTGCCAACCCCAGTCAAACAGGCTCTTTCTAGGCTCGGACAGAGGCAGGAAAGGTATGGAAGGGGAAAGGGCACCCTCTAAAATGGGAATTAAAAGTTTTAAATGCTGCTCTTGTATTTTATTTACCACTTAGTCTTTTGATTCATACCTGAGTTCTTAGTTAACTTTCTTATAGTGCTCATAACAGTTGCATTTCAGTTGTATTTTCAGTGACACTTGTTTTATATTGGCATTTAAAATTGGCCTTTAACTGCCTCCCGATTGATTTATAAGATTAAAAGAAAACAAACATGTAACCACGGGGGCTTGGATGCTGTTACGAAATACACTGTGTTGCTTCTGACAGTAAGTGCCTGCCTATTGTAATAGCACTGATTCTGCTGTAGCCTCAGTGACCATTTAAAACAAAATAAATGTGTCATTTTCACCCACAGACAGTTGCTTAGCCCCTGGGTTCAGGTTCTCTAGCCAATGCTGTGACCAGTGTGTGGGGTATGAGGGATCAATCAGCTCAGCCCCTCAGTCTGTCTGGGAGATAGATGGCCTGGTGGGAAGGGGCAGCAGGGGGTATGGAATACTGACTTAGAGGTGAAAGGCCTTAGATTAGTGTCATGTTTTCCCTGCTGTTCTGTCAGGCCTCATGGGGAGGGAGCCCCCAGGCCCATTGAGTATTAGGCTTCCAGGTGAAATCTGACTTGAAGAAAG